TGTGTACAAAAAAATCATGAAAGTTTTATTTAAAAAAAAAAAGAAGATATAAAGTATGTTTTTATGACACAATATCTTATACTTTTTAGGTGATGAGTGAAACTCATAACTATTATCTAAAAGTGTGGGGCAAATCATGTTCTTATGTAATAACTCATATATTATACATGAAAAGTAAATCGTACTAAGAAGACCTTGATCTTGATGTACGAGAGTAATTCTCCACATATTATACTAATTAAACTGAGTCATTTAACCGTGTAGTTAACATGCTATATACTTTCAATTTATTTATGGTTTGATGGAATAATTCCGAATGGATCCAGAGCGGAACAATATGGAGGAAATCAAACACGAGGCACTAGACGAACCTACACTCGAGGTTGGCCGAGCAGACCATGGGACGGTCTGCCACCCAATGGTTTGCCATGCCACGGTCGGTCGCCTCGAGGGTCGGCCATGCCACGGTCGGCCACCTCATGGTCGGCCACTTGGCCGAGCTCTGTGCTCGGCCAAGGGGCGGGGTCTCCCCGTTGTCCGAGTCTTGCGACGTGTGTTGCGGTCTAAGACGGTTGCGGCAACTCCCACCGCGTTCTCCAGGTTGTTACAACGAATTAGAGTATTTAAACACTCATTTGTGTCTTGTTTAGACATCTCTTGTCCTAATCCAATACATTGTCCTGTTATTACATAATTCTCATCTTTGTAATAGCATTTTATACACAATTAATACAATATTCGTCCCCCTGACTTGTATAGTTATATTTGTATCAATATTCATCCCTTATTATCGTTACATTAATTTACATTGATTCAATCCGTACTTGTCATAATTCGATCATTAATTGGGTTAATTGATTCGAACCCCCGGACTAATATAATCCATCATAGTTAACTACTGCATGTACACAATATATATGTCAATTACAGACACATAATTTTTGGATCATGGTTCACAATTTAAGATAGAGCTAGTCCATGGTATAACAATTGAAGAAACCTTAACTAAAAGTGTGGTTCAAAAATGTGAATTTAAGATTTTTTTTTTAAATCTCAATTTTTGGTTCATTTTAATATTAAAAAAAATTCTAGTAATACCAATCATCTAATTAATAAGGTTGTTTGAAAATATAACGGAGAGAACTAAATCGATTAATCATCTATCAAGCATTTTGTGTTCAATTGACATCTTTGTGGCTTTCTTTGAGGGAAGGTCACAGGATTGAACCCTAGTGGTGGGGTATTGACTCTTTAGGTTACAACTGATAGAAAAAGTATATTGATCAAAACATATACTACATTGTAATTGAGTCAATAGTACTAAAAAAAAAAATTGATTAAGCACTTCACTACTATAAAAGACAAGTATTAAAAAAAAAAAAATTATGCATTCGCTACTAGTTATATATTTGGGCGCAAGTTAGAGGTGCAATGTATTAGTGGATCTTATTAAGTTATTAATTTATTATCAATAAAATAAAAGCAAAATTTATATTTAAGTAGATACTATCTTTCTTTAAAAATAAAAAATAAACAACAACAACAACACGACATTGTATAGAATTAATTCTATTTTTGGTCCTAGATTTATAGGTGAGAGTCCATTTTAAATCCTTTTTTATTAGAACCTCCACTTTTGATCCTAGTAATATTGTGGCATAATCATTTTTTGTCTAATTTTATCAACAAAACAGTTTAAATACCGTTTAATACAAGGGCATTTCAGTCTTCAATTATGAAAATTTTCAAAAAAAAAAAAAAACATAAAAAATATAGCAGGTTAACCTACTTTGTATAAAAAAAAAGATTAAAATGTCTTTATATTTAATGACATTTCAATGATTTTATTGACGGGTGACTAAAAATGGTCATGCCACAATAATACTTAGACCAAATGAGGATGTTTAAAAAAAAAAAAAAAAACTAAAAATGAACTGACACTTATAAATTTAAGACCAAAAATAAAATTAACTCACGTCGTATATATCAATTATGAAAATTTTATATAAAAGATATTTATGAGACAACATTTTATGTTGTCTTTCATACCTTAAAAAGTTATTAAAAGATAATATATTTTCAATAAATAAAATGTTGAGAGGTAGGTGGCAACTGGTAGGATTCTCACCTCATGAACTTGCCCTTCACTAAGGGGGTGTATTCAATCATGACTTTCGTAGAGTTTTAAAGACTTTTATGAACTTTAAAAGTTTGGAGGTATTCAATTCAAACTTTTAGAGAGTCTTTAAAAGTCAGGCGGTATTCAATCAAGATTTTTAAAGAGTCTTTAAAAGTCGTGTGGTATTCAATTAAGACTTTTAAAGAGTTTTTAAAAGTCATGTGGTATTCAAAAAGTTATGAACTTTTGTAGACTTTTTAATTTTAAGACTTTTGTAGACTTTTCCTTCTCAAATATAAATAGTTGAAATCCAACCATCAACCCCAAGATTTCAAAATTTTCTTTCTAACAACTTTGAGTGTTTTCTCTCTCTATATAAACTTTATTTTTTCTTCATATTTAAACTTTATAAGCCTATCTAAATTATTTTTTTCTTCATTATCCTATATTTTCCTCATACCTAAACTCTACCAATTTTTCTCTCTCTCCTACATTTTACAATCTTCATCTAAAAATTCAAAATAATATTATTTTCCTCATACCTAAACTCTAATTCTCCCTAAATACATGAACAAAGCAAATTTTTCATCGTCAAATTTTAATAAATGTTTCATAATATTCATATAAATACTTATATATTTTAATTTTTATTCTTTTTATGTTTATATTCGTAATATATATTTTTCCTTTTTTTTTTTAACAACAGGTTACTACGAATAGCGAACTATTGTTCGCAACAACAATTTGGGGTTGCAAACAGTAGCACCTTGTTGTTGTTCGCAGTCTCAAATTGCTATTGCAAATAATATTTCTTTGCGTGATGCCTAGCAATAAAAGTATAATTTTTTTATATATATTATTAATATTATATTTATATTTTTTATTTTATGCAACTTGTAATTATATTTTTAAATACTTTATTTGATCAATTCTTTTATTATAAATTTTATTGTTCAGTATTGTTATGAATTTCTAATGAAATAGTTTTTTTTTGTTAATGTTTATTAATAATATATATATATATATATAAGTAATTAGTAAGTCTCAATATACTATGGATAAAAATAATAATGTTGAGAATGCTGATGTAGGTGAAAAACTATATAATAAAAAGAATTTTATGATATATTATAAATGTTTTGTAAGAAAATTATAAATGATAAGAATCAAAATCATTGAAAGTTTGTAAGCATGTATTCAATTTAGAATTTCAATGACTTTTTATAGACTTTTTAAAATAAAAAGTTAATAAAAGTCTATGAATGTTTTTTATATAGACTTTTATAGAGTCTTATAAAGTTTTAAAAAGTTCTGAACGACTCTATGAAAGTCAATCAAAATTTATTAAAATCTATCATTTTAAAAGTCTTTAAAACTCTACAAAAGTCATGATTGAATACACCCCCCTAAATGGAATGCAATAGGGAGGAGCTACTCACATACAATATGACTTAATTCGAATGCATGTGTTTAGTATGTTTATAAAAGACACATGATTTTTTGTGATTCAATGACAATGAATGATTTGGTCGCCACACACAATATAACAAATTATGCCATTTTTAGTCTTTATATACTATTGAAAATGTATAATTTTTAATTTTTAAAAGAAGATATAGCCTATTAGGAATTAGCTCAAATCGAAAAGATCAATCAACAATCACTCATAGTTACCAAATGACTTGTCTAACCAATTCGATTGGGGTTGTCCCTAATTTTTGGGTGTAATTAACCAGAGTATAAGCATCATTTTTAATAAATCATAATTTTAAGTTATTCTAGCTAGTGGAAAAAATTATTTGAAAAGGGAGCTAAGGAAAACATGACCATTTTGCTTGTATATTTTCAACTCATACCTGAATTTGGAATATAGTTTGTCGAAAATAACTCTGAACTATATGTTGTTAACCTATGCCAATTTCGAACAAAAAAACAAGTGCTAAACTAGGGAAGAAAGTAAAATTGGAGGAAAGTTGAAAAAATGAGCTTAAGAACGCAGATGAGTACTTAAATATTTCAATTTCCGTCAACGAAAACATTTGAAAATGCTAAAAATAACTCAAAACGAAAACAAAAAGAAAATTGACAATTAGTTATTATTAAAAATTAAAAATATAAAAATACTAAATTATAAAACAAACTTTAAAAATATATAATGAAATCTTAAAATATGTAAAAACAACGTTAAATAAAAAAATGAATAAAGGAAAATAACAGTTTTTTCTCTGAGTTATATGCTTATAGCACTATTCCTCCTGAGTTATTTATGTATTCAAATTTTCCCCCTCAGGTATGTTACAAGTGGCAGTTTTTTCCCCTTTATTGTTAAATGGACATTTTTACCCTTCAAAATAAGTATTTCATTTATGTTTTTCTCCAACAAATTATTGTTTATATGTAAGGATGAATACGGTTGGATTCGAACATTGGTCTCTTCTCCCAAATATTGTCTATCGTGTGGGTTAAATAAACTATTGGAGGAAAGCTTGTTGTTAATATAGGACCTCATAAATAATAATTTATGCTTGTTTATTTAAAGATTATAGGGTTTACACAAACAGTACACAACAATCTAGGATCTGTTATAAGTTGTGAAACCTGCAACTAACGTCACTTATTTAGCATAATTAACTTCCAAGATCCCACACCCAACACAGAAAAACTAAATTTCTGACCTCACACCCCGGTTTACAGTGTGAAATCTAAACAGTTTCTAGTTTTCCTGAACCATACAGGGAGAAAATTATTATCACTCAGAACCCAACGCACAGCCCCGGCTGACTCGTCGATGTTTAGGCTAACGTAGAAGCATTTGTGGCCGCCAAACGGACAATAATCGATTCTGTAAGTGTTAGGGTCCGGTTGGGCTACAATCTTGAACTGGCCGCTAAGGTCGGAGACAAACTCGCCGGAGTTCAAGAAGAATTGTTGGGATGGCCTGTCGTACTGGATCCCCCAATAGACACTACTCGCGCAAACCCGGGGCGTCGAAACGGAGAATTCGAAGCTCAGGAACTTCGACGGCAAGACGACGGCGGCGTTGGGGTCAGTCGGCCTGACCCTAATGGGGTCGCCGAACGAAAAGCACCGCGGCACGACCACGTTGCTCGCGCATTGTGCTGTAGAGTTTAACCAGGCAAGTTGCACTCCTGCGGAGGCGGAGTGCGGCGTTTCGATGGAGGTTATGTAGTAAGTTTCGCCGGCCCGGAGCTCGTTTCCGTCGGTGTCCACCACCGGAGTGTTGTCGGAGGCTACTGCTGCGTCGGCCGTGGGAAGGCGGATGGGAAGGCGGATTGGATTGAACGCAGAGTGAGTTGGGTTGGGAAGGAGATAGAGGGAAAATGCGAATAAGAGTATTGCGAGGGTTTTCATGTTGCCGACAACTTGGGAGAATAGGTAGTTATGATGTTTGTAGGTAATGTTGTTTGAACTTTGAAGTCTCATTCAATTTATAGATGACAAATGTTTGCAGTTCATTCCATCACCCAGATCTAAAACGACGCAGTTTGTGTGTGCAGTGTCCAAATAATGAGGATGTTCGAGTTAAAAAATTGTGAATATAGAGTTCTGCTATTGTGAATATTGAGTTCTGTAATTTTGTATTTTGATATCTAAAATTGTGAATATTCACTTCTAAAATTGGGAATATAAAGTTCTGTAATTGTGAATATCAAGTTAAAAAATTGTGAATATAGCGTTCTGCTATTGTGAATATTAAGTTCTATAATTTTGTATTTTGAGATCTAAAATTGTGAATATAGAGTTCTAAAATTACAAGTGAGTATAGAGTTCAAAAATTGTAAATATAGATGAACGAATTTTGAAGACAAATGGTAAGGGAAGAAGCAATTTGGACCAGGGTCCACCTTGCAAAGTGGACCAGAGCCCAGAACTTAATTTGCCGTTCATTTATTGTTAGCAAATTATGTGGGTCGTTATATCATAGACCGCGGTGCATGTGCACTGCGGTAAAAAAACAGCGCCGTTTCTTTAAGTAAAGAAACGGCCCGCCGTTATAGTTAATGGAATCCGCTTGTTTGGTGTATTAAACACCAACTGACACTACAGTATATCTAAACCGACACTGCAGTTATATTAAAATGATACTGTAGTTATAGTGAAATGAAACTGTAGTGTATATAAAATGAAACTGAATAACATTTCACATATTTGAGTGTATATTGTACAATGAAGCTGTAATTATATCAAAATGATCATGTAGTTGTGTTTTAATGAAACTATAGTGTATATAAAATAAAATTAAATAACATTTTCACATATTTGAGTCTATAAATATCGAATGAAACTATAGTTCTATCGAAATGAAACTGTAGTTGTGTTGAACTGACACTGCAGTGTATACAAAATGACACTGAAGAACAGGGTTACTTTTTACAAAAGGGTGCGAAACGGCGGAAAACAAACACTGTTTATTTTCATTTAAAAAAAAAAAAAGACGCGCGGTGCATGATTGATCATGCACCGTGGTGCATGATATAATTTGCCCAAATTATGTTGCAGGGTGAACACGGTTTCAAAACTGTCATAATTGTGAATATAGAGTTAAAAAATTATGAACATAGAGTTCTATAATTATGATCATAGAGTTCTGTAATTGTGAATATAGAGTTCACTAATTGTGAATATGAAGTTCGAAAATTATGAACATAGAGTTCAGTAATTATGAACATAGAGTTCTGTAATTGTGAATATAGAATTCAATAACTGTGAATATGAAGTTCAAAAATTATGAACATAGAACCGTATTCACCTTGCAAGGTGGACACGGTTCCACGGCATAACAATTGTATATTGTTGGGTTGAGTTTTCCTCCTATGTGATAAATAACTCATGTTTGGATCCAACCTTTTGTATCCATTATTTGTTGTTGAATCTCCGCTCATTAGAAATTATGTTATATATGTACAAAGGAAAGGGATCGTTATGCTATGGAACCGTGTTCACCATTCATGGTGAACACGGTCCTAACGATAACAGTGCATTGTTAGTTTTTTTTTTTTTTTTTCCTTAATTAATCGCGCGACTTTTCTTCTTTATTTTCACATTTTGCGATTTTACTTCCTCTTCGCGCAAGCTTCTTCAACATAATCTCATAAAAAGAAAATTCATAATTTCATAACTGCACATTCATAAATCCATGCCTGCACATTCATAATTGCATGGATTTATGAATGTGCAGTTATGAAATTATGAATTTTCTTTTATGAGATTATGAATTTTCTATTATGAGATTATGAATTTTCTTTTATGCGATTATGAATTTTTTGTTATGAAATTATGAATTTTCTGTTATGAGATTATGAATTTACAGAAAATTCATAATTACATAGCTGTAAATTCATAATCTCATAACATAAAATTCATAATTTAATAAATGTTTTTCTTTTATGCGATTATGAATTTTCTGTTATGAGATTATGAATTTACAGTACATTAATAATCTCATAACAGAAAATTCATAATCTGACCAAACGCGCGCCGTTAACACCACATTAGCGAAATTTATTTATTTTTCGTAAAAACAACACTGTTTGGATCCATGTTCACCATTCATGGTGAACACGTTTCCAGGGCATAATTTGCCAAAGGAAAGGATTGTGGCGGCAGCACATTATATTTGTGCAAAAGGAAACAATTTTCCTTTTTGTTGAATCTCACATACTATATAGGGAATAAAATTTATTTCCTTTTTTGGCTAAAAAGGAAAAGGAATCAAATTATATATTGGCAGTGAGGAATTGAAGACGGCAAGGTAGACGTGAGAATTAAGAGGCAGTGAAACCAAATTCTTTTACTTCTTTCTTTGTCTCCTTCAGTAGTTCGGCAGTGTAAGGAGAAACAATTGAAATAAAGCTTTTTTCCTTGGTCTTTTCTTTAGCAGCGTTTTGAGCGGATTTTGTTGCACGTTTGATATTTTTGTCGTGAGTTTGCTAAAATTCTTGGGTGCTTTTTTCATCAAATATTTTTGAGATCAACTTGTTTGTTACAGGCATCTTTTGAGTATATTCTTATAGTATTTGTATTCTTTTTCACCATGCTCGTGCCTCGTGGTGGTTGAATATTTTAATTACGAATTAGTATTCCTTTTTGGCCTATGAATTATAATAGAAGTCTTTAGCCTAAATTTGTTGTATATGATGATTTTTTTATGTTTGACTTATGTGGTAGCCTAAAACTTTGTACCCAAAATTTGTTATAGTGAAAATTTTGTTGGTGGTGGTTCGTGGCTTTTCCCGTAATTTTGAAATTTGCCACGTAAATCGTGTGTTCCTTGTGTTGATATTTATTTTCGACTATTGTGTATTATCTCGTATTTGTAAATCGTGACGAATTTGTGATTCTCATTGTTACAGGGAGTGAGGAGATATTAAGGGTTTTAAATATTTTTGTCTAAGAAAATTTGTGTGATGCATAGTGTTTGTCATGTATTTACTAAAAAAAAAATGTTTGTTTTCCCGGAATAGCACCCTTCATTATCAAAAATTAATTATAAAATTGACATATGGAATAAAGAAGGTTTAATAAATGGTAGGTAGGTGGAACTGGTACGATTCTCATCTCGCCAATTTGCCCTTCACTAAATGGGATAAGAATATGAGATAGAGTTGATAATGATCATATGCTGGCCGTAGGATTTGGGAGGAAATATCGAAAAGAATTGTTGCCTCGTGGGATAGTCGTGAACAATGTGATACGCCACGTTTAAGTTGTGCTTGGATGCACATTAAGGATTAAATTGATGCATTTTAAGTATACAACACACATACTAATCACATAAACAAAACACCTTAAGAACACTAATCTCATGCACATTAAGCACAAAATTGACGCACCTTAAGTTTTCACGCACATTAAGTACAAAACTCACGCACATTAAGTACAAAACTCACACACCTTACGCACAAAACTCATGCACCTTAAGTTTCAACACTACTCACATTAAGTACAGACTCACGCACCTTAAGCACAAAACTCACGCACCTTAAGTACAAGACTCACGTACCACTGCTGGAAATTTTTGTTTTTCTGACCAGTTTTCCGACCACCCTAAAAAATGGTCGGAAAATGTGACATTTTTTCGTCCAAAAGTTAGACTTGATGGAAAAAGGTCGAAATTTTCAATCACTTTTACTACGGTTGTTGGAATTTTCGACCATCTTTAGTAGACTGGTCGGAAATACCCACACCCAAGAAAAAAAATTTCGACTATTTGAATTTTTAAAAATTGATTTTCCATTTCGACCATCTATAGTGGTCGGAAATCCTCATTATTATTATTTTTTTTGGGATTATATTTAAAGCTAAATTTAGAGCATGAGACTCTCAATTCTCATTCGATGCTCAGCGCATCCCTCTCACTCCGCACCTCAAACACCATCGATTATCTGTTTCTCACCTAGACTACAGCTTCATATATATCCATCTTATTTCCTCAAAATTTAGCAGATTACAGCTTCATTTTGCGAGCTCAAGAGTCGCCTTGTACTCAGATCTTCCCTCCATGTTCATCGAAACACAAACATGGAGCAATATCATGAATGTCAAACCTTCTTAAATTTTCAACTACATTCATGAATGGACTTTTTTTAAGTGTCTATATATTTTTCAACAAATTAAATATCTTATCATGATGTTGGTCCCGGTAGGGTCAAAAGGGAGTCTAGAGGGGGGTGAATAGACTCTAATCGATTTTTCAAAGAGTCTCCTTTTGGAGATATGCACAATGGAAATAATATTTTGTTTTAAATATTCTTTGCACACTTTTGTGTTAGTAAAGACTTAGCGTTGGGTCGATATGTTATGATGTATAATGCACGAAAGTAATAGCTGAATGTAAAAAGATAAAGAGAGAGAGATTTTATAGTTGTTCGGCTGTTAACGAAGCCTACTCCACTCTTTCTTCACAACTCGTGAAAGGGTTTGCACTATCACTCCTAGTACAAACTACTTCAAGCTGGCTTCTTTGATCACTAAGCCGGACAGCCACTTGAAAGGTTTTCAACTCCTCGAGTTTACTCCGCCTCTATCAACTTCTTCCTAAGTTGAGATGTTGGAAAGATAATCCGATGTTTCTCCAACAGGTTGAAGCTTGTCTTGACGTCTGGATTGATCTTCACTTGAGAAAATTACAAGACTGCTTCAAGTTGTGAAGTATGAAGATGGATATGCCTTTGAAAAACTTCACAACTAACACTGGTTATGAAAAGCTTTTGGAGATGAAACTGTTTGAAGAGCTTTTCTTAAGATTGCAAGAGTGAGTTAACCAACACCTTCTTCAATGGTGAAGAGAGGTATTTATAGGTGGAAAAATCCATCCGTCGGGGGGAGATGAAAATTTCAAACCTAATAACAAATGTGTATTACTCAGTGGATATTGGGCATTTAATGCACTTGTACTGTATA